CTGACACACAGAAATATAAGTGGAACAGGCTGAAAGTCTTCAAAGAACACTTGTAGATCCTTCTTGGATCCCACAGATATTGTTTAGAGAACTTACATTCTAAGTTCTATATTCATGCTATATTTCAGGAAATGTTCCTTATTAATATGTCACTCTCCTAAGGTCTCCCTTTGACCTGGGGTTTCAGTTCTCCAGCCTCTGAGCATATAGATTAACCTAACTGACTTAAATTGTTTTATCTGGAATGGGATAATTCAGTGAAATTGAAATTAATTCACACAAATATATCTGATAGAATTTAGCCTGAAGCATGCAGTAATGTGCAAAAAAAAATAATATTTTTAATTTAAAAAAATAAAACAAAACAAACAAAATTTCTGTGGGAAAGAGAATGTTTAAAAATGTTTCAGCATCTTTTTGTTTCCTGTTAGTCTCTCTTGGATCGTGGCAAAAAATCGTAAACTTCAGAGGCCAAAAGTTTTTAGGCTACTTTAACTCTGTGAGTCTCTATTCCACATGGAGTCCAGTGTCTCTCTGCTATTCTTGTGTTTGCTCATGGCATGTTAGGAAGTTTATAAGTCATTGACCAATACTTCTATTCTGGCATTATAAATGGGCATGGCCTTTTCTGCTCAATGTTTGTCTAAGTAGGTACTGTCAGAATGGCTAAAGAAGGTAGTAAATACCAATGCTGCAGGAACAAGAAGATTCACAGCTACACTGAATCATCTTAGTGAGAAAGAGTTGCAAGTCTCATGAGTAAATAGCTAGAAAATATTTCTACAGAAAGATTCTTATGATCTATTTTGGATTGTTTCTATGAAGAAGCAGTTTCAAGGCCATAGTTCTTTCTAAACACTAACCAATTATCCATATATTACAATAATATATATTAGGGTTTTTTGATTGCAACTTAGAGATCTGAACTGAAAATCTGATAAAGATATTTCTTTTATTTTGTATATTCTCCACATTACATGACAATAGCAGCAGAGATTCAAGTGAGTCATTACTCGTGAAAATACTGTTAGTGTTACTAATTAAAGGACAAATAGACTATTAAAATTCATAAATTCCAAAATAAACTGGAAATTCAATATCTAGTATAAAACTTTAAAAAATCTGAGTTGATATCACTCCAGAAGTTTAGCATAGATACAAACATATTGCTGTTTTTCTCTACAATTGTCAGTAAAAAACTTTAAAGATTATATAAATGGGTTAGCAAAAGATGAGTTAATCCTTTGAGGAAAAATGTTTCATCTATCAAAATTGTTTATTTAAACTTCAACTTGTGTATACCCGAAATTGGACTTAGGCTCACAAATACAATTCTACATGTAAACAGTAAATTATATAAACAGCTCACTCTTTACTAGCCAAATTGACCATTTTACAGAAACAATCCAAAGTGTAAATACATATACATGTATTTTTGTGTCTGCATATACACACATGCATGAAAGCCTTCCCAGATTTGCTGCGGGAACCTTGTCCCTTAATGTACCCTGAATCTGCATTTGTGAGCTTGAAACCATGGAATTAATATGTTTTTTACTTATTTATTTTAATATGGTGCATTATAGAATACCTGAACAAGAAAAGAAGAAAACTGATCTCACAGTGCTCCACAGTTTTCATGTCCGCAGCTTCTGAAACCTTTAAGACTATTAACTTGCTGGCAGGCTCACAAGGAATTTTAAGGCATCTTGTGCCTGTGCTACTTATTTTAAGCTCTGTCTACCAGTGTTACGAAATTTCAAACTCTTTTGAAAGCAAACTCTTTTGACTTTCTTAGTAATTCCATTTCATGTGGTTCTGGCTTTCAGGCAGATTCAAGAGTGACATAATCGCCTTTTTCCACCCACAGGTTTTGCACTGCTGCTGTTGGTAACACCCTTCCACATAATGTGCAACACGAATTTTTGTCTGATTCCATATGCCCAGAAATAGAAGACAGCCCAGCAAAGAGGACTAAAGCAGTTTCTTGGCTTTCTATCAGTCACCATAGGCTGAATGAAGCTTCTTCAGTATTTTTCCTCTCAGTTATTACTTTAGCTACAGTGCAGTTCCTGTCAGTCCAAAGTCATGCTACTTCCAACGGATGTGAACCAATTTCCCAATAAACTTTACCCCTGTTACTGAAGCAGGTATCTTAAATGTCGTAGCAGAGAATAAACAAACAAACCTAAAGTGATCTGTTTGTAATTTTTATTATAGCATTTATGCAAATGCACTCAAAAAAAATTGAATTCTTCAGTTTTATTTTAAAAAATGCTAGAACTTGGCTAGTATGCATTTGTAAGAGCTACTGCAATCATATTTTACATTATTAACAATACTGGATTACATACCAAGCTCCACAGCAGCAGGATAAATATCATAGGGAAAAAGCACTTTCTGGAGTTTGTTACCAACATGTGAGAACTAGAAGCAATCTGCAGTCCTGTCTCACTGTCCAATCTCAGAGTCTCCTGGCTTACCTGAAGAGTACAAGAGTGTTTGTACATGAAATATGGCATGCTAACACAGTGTGAGGAGTATTTCTTTGCCCTCTGACAGTCTCCAGAAATTTTGCTTTTTACGGTTATGCTTTTCATGCTTGGTGAAATTTTTAGGTCCTGCACAGCATTGTGGCTACTCAGGTCTCTTGAATCCAGGACTACTGAGAGGCATTGGTTCAGGTCAGCTTCAGGGCAATGTTGCAATGTGTTTCTGGTTAATGGCATGTTTTGTCCAAATTAATGGTTTAGTCCAAATTATGCCCTCCCACCCACCTTGTCAATCTACCCTGAATTCCCTGTCAATCCTATTTTTGCCTACCCCCTGCTTGGAATACCCCTTTGGAAATCCCCTAAAAACTGGACATCTCATTAGTCCATGTGACCCAGTTTCCCCCCCTACCTCCCTCATTGGACAATGCCTTTGTGAACCCTACCCTTTACTCCTCCGCAGAATTTCTCCAATTTGCTAATGATTTGTACCCTCCCCATGAACCTACCCCATATTTTGGCTTTTGCACCCTTGCATTTTTGTCTTTTGCTCCAGAATTCCCCAGAGTAATAAATCCTCTTTTATCCTATGCAAAAGACCTCCCCCTCCTCCTTGCCTCCTTAGAATGCAAACTAACAGCAAAAAGCCATAGAGAAATTGCTGTGGCCACACTTCAGGTTTTCTGCTCCCAAGGTGTGACCCACCCCTCAGTGCGGGGCCGTAGTGGCAAAGTGAGTGCAATTCCAGCCTCTGCAACAGGGCAATTTCATAGGCAATTACATTGCTGCTTTAAGAGCTGGCATTGAACTGCCAGGCAATTAAAAAAGCATGTGTCATGCTCAAGGAAACACTAGTCCATGTTCAGAAGAAATGGAGAAGAATGCATCGAGTTATCACCATAAAAAATAAATGATCCAGCCTGGAAAGATATTTCCTTTTCTTCAGCAATGAGCCAATTCTGGGAAAAGATTACAACTGGGCAAAGTGAGGCAGTGATTCAGCATCAGGATGTGCAGTCTAAAGATAGAAGACAGTTCTCATGGGACCTTGTCATACTCAGCTACACTCACAACTCTGCTGGGCCCTCTCCTAAGCTCAGTGCAGCTGAGAGTCATGCCTTTCTCTCACTCCCAGCAGTGAGGGATAACCCATTTGAACAGCTATCTAACAGAAAGAAACCTGTGAGATGGGCTAGAAAATGAGACAAACTGATTGTGATGGCCATCATAGAGTGAAATCCACTGCAACAGGAATTCCATGTGAAATGGAATGATGATTATTTCTTTCTCTAGACTCTGTTCACAGTGCAAGCCAAAGTAACACTTTTGTTTCTGTGCTGAAAATTATCTGGCTAATAAGTTACAACACTTTTAAAAAAGGGATAAATTGAAAATCCTGTAAAATTCTACCTTGATGTTTAAAAGTCCAAGGCACTCTAAAATACATCCTCTTGAGGAAATAGTTAAGTTCTAGGAAGTTTTAACAAATTGATCTGTCCTTTGCTGACAAAATAAAATGAAATATTATTTAGCTGGCTAAGGTCTTAAAATTTTACTTAACTCTGCCTACATTGAGATCTATTTCTTCTAGTAATGCAATTATTGTTAATGGGTTTTCTGATACTAAGAAAGAAAACTGATTTTAGCTGCAGTGGAACTGTGGTCATTTAAAACATTAAATTCACCCATCCACATTAACAGTGACATGAGATATTTTAGTTCGTTGTTAATGACATTACACAAGCACTTTCAAAACTCTTTCACACCCTATATATTTTTACAATACATAAAGACAAGAGAAGCTATGCAAGTATCCAGCTTCTACCATTACCTTATGGCAAAGAGATGATATTTCTCTAGAAAGAAGGGAAGAATATTTCTAAACAATCAGGTAGAAGATGTATGTGATGATAGGCTGTGTCAATTGAGATTTTCTTTCTGGAGCATTTCAAGGGCAAAAATCCAAAGTGCTTATCCAACCTTCCCAAACAGCCATACATGTGGGAACACTTGGGGCAAGTTCTCAGTTACAATCATCACCCCACACATCTGACATCTGACAGATGTTGGGTTTGTTTAGATTTAGATTGACCCCACACTGGTCAATCTCAATGGAAACCCAAGCCTGAATTGCTGGCTACAGCTGAGCCCACAGAATAAACATTTCCTCTGCTGCATTTAACAACACTCTTGTTAAGATATCTGCTTTTTGATAATATTCTCAAAAATACTGTTAAGAATTTTGCAAAAAACAAACCCTGTACTTATTTAGCAGCATATTTGCACAAAGCTAAAACTATTTTTTAAAAAATACCCAGTTAATCAATAGACAGAAAATATCAGATCATCCACCCAAACATCTGAACAACTTGTATTGAAAAAATACATTGCAATGAGTGAGTCATGATGAATTGTACTCCATACTGGACAAGTAAAAACTGTATTTATTATAATAATTATTATTGTTAAAGCCATGTTCTCCTCACTTGTTTTTAAAATTCCCTCATGTCCTGCATTTAAAAAGCTGAATTTAGTTCTCAGATTTCAAAAGAACAAAATAAAACAAAGTGAAAGAAGCCCTTGGAAATGCTGGCATTTTAGTATACCTAATAAAAGAACAAATTCCTGTACTAGATATGTTTCAGCAAGTGTCATCAATGTATCAAGTGCTTACACGTCTCTTTTCCCTTTCAGACTTGCAGCTTACTAACTTCAGTGAGGGAAGTAAGAGCAATCTAGCATAATGTACTGAAAATCTTGCTGATAATTTCCAAACAGTTTAACAGAAAGAGTGTTCATGGTACCTACATATTTCTGCATATTATCATTTGGTTCATTTCACTGGTGACATAGAAGAGACTGCATTGTGTTGAGCTGCAGATGACATTTAAATGTTGCTTTTAAACCATGTAAGATTTCTTATTTAAAAGTAAACTTTTAAAGTTTGGGAAAAAAATAATGCTATGAATTAAATCAATTTTACCATCAGTTTCTGCCCCATAAAATATTTTTTTAAGACTTCCTTTCAGATGGAAACAAGACTGTTTCATTCATTCATGGGCAATACTTTGGCTCCATGTGCATTTATATAAGTAAGAAGAATTTTGGACCTCCTTTCTATTACATCAATAAGCTTTTCAATTCCTTTTCTTCCTCCTTGGCTCTCCCAGTATATTTTGTCAAGGAACAAAGACTGGAGCAACTTCTCACGTAAACGCTGGCTCCTCAGAACTGAAACTGCAGAAGCAGGGAATCTGGAAAAGCACAAAGAAATTCATCAGTTTTTGCCATTACTCTGAATTGCAGTATTTATGTTGTGGTTTAGCAATCAATTGTACAAATACAGGCTGCAACTCAGCAAAGGAAGTCAAGCATGCCTAATCATATGTATGTTAATTGTATCTTTCACAGCTGTGGGATTACTCACACATTTTTAGATATATCTTGTCAATGTCTTGGGCCAATGATATCTATTCCAGTAGCTTAATGTCTCATACTCAAACTGGGAATAAATTATCAATCCTTTTACAAAATTAATATTTTAAAACTTACTCATTGATTCCTTGTAGTATTTTGAAGTCAAGATTGTCCTCATTTCTGTCAAAGAAACCCTTATTGTCTATAAAGGCCAAGTGCCTTTGGTCATGCCTTCTCTGAACTATGTGTGTCAGGTCAACAGCATCCTGATCATTGCATTTCAGCTTCAGTCCTTGCTGCATGCAGAAATCCTCCTTGAGAGGTTTGAATCCACAACAATTTCTGTCTAGTCGATTATAGATCTAAAACAAAGTACAGCAGAGTGCCAAGTGAAAACAATATCAAAGTACTTGAGGCAAAGTGTCACTGTAAGACATTGCTCTCTGACCCAGTTGACAGGAAAGCAAGCTCAGTACAAGTGTAACTAAAAACAGTGAAACAGCATTGAAGACCTGGTCCTCATACCTCAGGTACTGCTAAAAGCAATTTCTCAGACTGTATATTTTGCCCATTTTATAGCAATGATCTATTATGTCAGTAGAAATTCTTTGAAAATAATGGAACAATACCACTGTGTAACTGGAATAACAGAATGGTGAATACAATTCTATTTTCTTTGTCAGAAGCTTTGGGGGTATTTTACATTTTCTCTGCTGGAGAACAATAGAAATAGCACAGTCTGACACACACAGAGGACCTTCATTTTGTGGGATCTATTAGGCTAACAGAATGCAAAATAACTGAAAAGACTAGTGAAGGGCACGACAAACCATCAGAGGCTATAAAATGTAAGAACAATGTATTTATAATCACAGAGCAGCCTCCCTGTGGAATATACTTTTATGACATGATGGTTTAGACTATTTTTTCCCATGCAAAAGCTGGATTATTCATCACATAGCACTTAGCTGGAAAGAGTACATAAATCTGGCCTAACTTTTGTGGTGTAAATGTTAGGCATCTCTTTTGACTTTGGTTGTTTCTGTTCCCTTTCATAAACAATGACAAGAACAAGGCACATCCAGAGCAATGGATGCCATTTTAGGATAACGATCTAATACAGGAAGGATAAATCACTCCTTGAAAGTGCTTCTACCCCTTGAGAGTAGAAGAGAGTAAATATTCAACATTGCTACAGCCTTGAGCACACAAATAGGCCTGGATTGCCCTTAGAAGTCTCCTCTTGGACTTTTACATGTCCCACCTTTGCCCTGGGCACAGGAGCCCCCATTAATCTCAGGTAGCTCCTGAGTCCTTCAGAGGAGGGGGTGCGTGGGGGTGTTTTGTGCTCCTTGTTCCTGGGTTGTTGTTGAGCTTCCTGCCTGTCAGTCTTGGAGCTGCCTTGTCTGTGCCTAATGCTCACTGGGCTACAAAGAGGGCCTGTGGCTTTCACCATCTTTCTGGCTGGCCTGCCTCTCCTGCTGCTGGCCCTGCCTGCCCTAGAGCTGCCTTTGGCTCCAGCTTATCTTCCCAGAGAGCAGACCTGCTCCCACTAGCAGGTGTTTAGAGACTGGAAGTCTGGTCTGGTGCATCTAGCACTTAACGAGTAGCTCATTAAAGGTCACTCATTTTTTCTCACTCATTGTCCTTTTTTGTTTACTGTGAACTCTTCAAACTGCTCTAAGCACAAAACCAGTACTGTTTACGTAAGCTTTCTAAAACTACAGTTTTATTTTTGTAACATCCCAGCAACATGAATTGTTAGGACCCCACCTGCTGCAGAACTTCATTGCATATTGGAATGCAAAGGCCAGCTCTTTAATGAAATGAAAGTCTGAGAATTTATTTGCTTTGATTTTGTTTCGCGTTTTTTATATGTAGTTCTATTCCTAGTTGTATTGCTGACAGTTTTTGTTTCCAAATACCAAAATCCTGGGGAAAGGAACAGACTTCTCTTCCTCTTTCTCCTTTCATGAGCAGCATTCATTACCTGAAGGCTACAGAGCCCCTCTTGCTTTCAGTGTTCTCTCTCCTGGGATCTCTTATTCAATCCATCCAAAGGTAAAAAAGTAAAGCAGACTGCTTCTAGAAAGACTCCTTTGATGTACAGACCTCAGTCCTTTGCACTTCTCTACATCTATTAAATACACAGGGAGATCTTGTTCTTACAGACAGCCTCTTCATGATATCTTGCACCATTTCAGTGCTAAGACACAATGATGGAACACTCTGGAACTGATGCATATAGTTTAGCAGAATTTTCTGTCATACATTTATATACATAAGAGGTCCACACCCCCAAAATTAAAGAATCCATTTTGCTTGAGTTCTTGAAGGAAGCAAGTAAAGGTCAACTACAAGCATTTTATATCCTGCTCCTATGTTTTACAGCATTTAAAACATACATTAGGAAGATCTATTGGAGGTGCCAAACCTATTTTTCTGAGAAAATTATGCTTAACAGAGAATACTTTTCACCAGTATTCTTTATTTCCGAATGACTCATCAAGCACGGGTGGTTTTTTTTTTTTATTGAACGCTTTCTTGGCATTTTTTTTTTGTTTTCAAGTTTTCATATTCTGCTGCTGATAAACTCTGAGGGCACGCAGATAAAATTGTAGCTTTTAAGAACTATGACAGTCACTTTCACTCACTTTCTGGAATGCATTTTCTTGACTGGTAGCTACTGGAGATATAAATCACTCTGATACCAGCTATTAGTACAAAAGTAATTTGTCTCCTGTCATGTGAAGTTCAATCCTGTTGTATCTTATTTTAACCAATCACTCCTTCTAGATAATAGAAAAGCAGATTTATCATTCATCAGTTGCTGCTCTACTCCTTCTTTACTAAGTCACTGTCTAGGGTTTTTTTTAAAAAAAAAAGAAAAATTATCCACTACAACTGTTACCTTGCTCCAGACTGCAGCTCACCAAAATCACTTCAGTCATCTCTTGGGGCTGGGGAGGTACAGGAAGGACCACAGAGTAAACAGAGATTTACAGTTGTGAACACAGTCAAGATCTCTGTTTGGAGAAACAAGGAGTGAAGGAGAAACAGTATGCCTGCCTCAAGGTGAAATAAATCAAGGCAAAAGCCCTTGCTTCCTCCTTAAAAAGAAATTAGTTAGGCTTCCTGCCTGATTATAAGCTGCATTTGGATATTTTAATCATAAGAAATAACCAGAAATAATTTCAAACTATGCAAATACCTCTGGTCCCCATTTAAAAAATTAAATACACTAAAATTACTTTTCCTAAAAATCCTATGTTTGTTTACATGACTTATGAGACAAATAAGTCAGTAAACATTTTACCTGCAAGAGAAAATCAAAGAGTGCCATCTTGGACCACTCATGATGATGGATTCCAGTACAGCCCCATTCAGCTTTGGGAACTTTACCATTCTGCCAGCACTTCTTCTTCAATAGCTGCTGATATTGTCCCCATGTTAACCTCACTGAAGAATGGGTACTGTTATCTGTTGGACTCAGTGAGGAATCCCAGAGGATAACAGGACAGGCTTGACCACCTGAAAAAAGGGAAAAAATATCATTAATATAGTGCAATACTGTCAGTTTTATTTGATTGTTCTTTAGACATTGCCTAAGAATTAGTAATTTACAGATTTGGCAGGAGAACCAGCTAGGGACTAATATCTTGACATTAATGTGATCTTATCCTACATCCACAACCAGCCACCACAGGAATAGAAGCATAGGCATAAGGGCCTTCAGTGTATGGAAGACTTTTTTTCTTTGAAGCAAGAGATTAATGTACAGAAGCATATACTAAACCAAACTGTTAAAAAGTTTCTAGGTAGGTTAAAAGCCTACAATGTCACTGTGAATCAACAATGTAATTTCCCTCTGATTCCAGTGAACTGCTGATTTTAAAGAGCTAGAAACTTATGCCAAAAGTTCTTTGCATAATGGACATAGAGACACCACAAATCTTACACTCAAAGTGGATTTATTTTACTATTTTTAGTATTTTAAACCTATAATGTATGACTCTGCAGCTCTGAAAGGATATATGAGAATACTAGAGAGTGTGCACTTAGCATGAATAAAAAACTTAACGAGTTTGGGGGGTTTTACCTAGATATGAGATCTGTTTTGTATAGCAGATATTTTAGCCAAATTCTTTAGTTCTTCTGTGTAAAGAATATTCTTCTCTTCCCTGAAACTAAGACAGAGGATTTCTCTTTGGTGAATTCTAGTATTCAGCTTCACTGTGAGAATAAACATTGTCAAATTTAAAATGAGCTTTTTCAGTATAAGAACTGATAAATATATTTCATACAGTATCAAGGAACAGATATATCTATCTTATTAGAAAACTCCTTTTATTTCTGATGCAATGCTACTGCTGCTTAAACTGCTAAGGACCCATGACTGGCCACAGCTTGTACACATTAAGACAAATAAATCTTTTATATTTTGGAGTGTGTAGACAGAAGATCAAAATATGTGTTAGTACAAAGAAGAAGAACCATTTAACTGCAAATCTTAACTACTGTTTACTAAAAAGTGTTGGAACATATATAAAGCTTTAAAAATTATTCATATTCATCTTGAAGTTCATTGAACTTAGTCTACACTTTGCAAAATTGCACAATTAAGTGCAGCCTAAAGTGTCTCTTTGTCTTCCACGTGCCCATGGTGACAGAGACAGATCTGCAAAAAAGCTTTTAGAAACACATGAAGGCAAGAGATCCAGTCCACCTTCTTCAGAAGCAAACCAGACAGAAAATAGCCCATGGAAAACAGGTATCAGTGCCAACAGTGAGGTAGAAGCTGCCAATGTCAATGCTCCATTTGTAAGCAGCCAGGACTCTGAAAAACAACATCCATACAGCTGAATCAAAAAGCAACTTGCTCAAAGGACGCTGACTGCTGTAAAACAGGTAAGAAATTATCTTTGCCTGTACCTAGCACTGAAACGTGCAAAATTCCATCTCCCATTCACCAAACAAGCATGACAGACCGGCCCCACATGCAATCCAGCCCAAGAGAAAAGCCAACTCCTTTCCAAACCAGAATGCACCTGATCTTCTCTCCACCATGGCCTGCACATACAAGGCAGTCCTTCCTTCCAAATCCAACCCAATGACCCACTACCTCTTTAACTTCCCTTCCAGTTGCCCAGTGTTTCCTTAGAAACACAGACTCTGTCTTTCCATTAGGAGCATCAATTGCTCTTTCTTTATGATCAGTATTACCTTTATTAGCACCATGCTCCATACTCTCCCCCACTGAAAAAGTGAGCTGAGCACTCCTGAAAATCAGGCTTCTCCCTACAGAGGTGCCTGAATAAATAAAACTTATTTGGGAAATCCTACCCACTCCTCCATCTCTCTCACTCTGGCTCTATCACCTACATTGCAGATGATTTCACCCCAGTTAGGTCAGCTATGGGTTAGGCTTCTTTTCCAAGAAAGTTGGAGAAGGTCTATCTAAGCATTGGAAATTCTCACCAAAAAAAGACAGGTTTCCTCAGGACCAAATCTGATGTATTTTTATATCTCCAGTAAAAACTTATGTAACCGTTCATGAATTCTTCCACAAACCAAATACATAAACAGTTTATTAAGAAAACAAACATCTCTTGTCTACCCAAAAAGGACATGATAAACAATAGCGATATAAATAATTGAAAACTATGAATAATATCATGCCAGTTTCCATTAAGATACAAAAACATTTTTAAAAGGCTATGGTTAAATACAGGAAATGTTTGCATTTCAAAGGAAATGGGAGCAGAAAAGATGATCTAAAAAAAATCATTCAACTCTGTAATATAAATTGGATTACAGGAATATGTAACAGCAGCTTCAGAAAAGAGCTGTGACTCAAATTTTTGACACTTGCAGGAAAAACATGAAGATGCTGAAGTAAAGCAGATAAGGGGTCTGATTCATAGTTGCATGAATTGGCATGACCCCAGTGAAATCAGTGGAGCTTTTCTGATTCAAGCCTCATGAGGATGGGGCTGAAATTACCTGAACAGTGAAGAGACCTACAGCCAGAACTTGGAAGGGTATATGCTTCTTTCCTCGTCAGCTTTACATATTAACACAGAGGGGTGCTGCTTTTCCGTTGCTGCAGCAGCACTGCACTGAATCTCGCCCAGAGCTGATTGCCTTCATTTTGTTTTTATATGCCATTTTAGATCTGTATATCTACTTACCTATCCAAAGGCAATCTTCAAAATTGTATGGGAAAGATTTTTCCAAACTCATGCTGAAACCATCTCCCTAGTAATTCATACATATTTTTGAGTATCAAAACATTTCTAAAAATGTCTTATCTAAGTTGAATAAGCTAACACAGATGAAACCTCAGGCTGCTGAGACTAGACCGCCTCAAGGTACTCAAACTGCTTCATGTGCTGCTTGGTGATGTATCACTGCATGGCTTCCTCAACACAGGCATCATCTTACATTTCCACACGCCACATCACTTTGAAAATAAACGGTATGCTTCTCATGTGGTTAGGAATCACTTTTTGCTCTTGCAAACATTACTCTGATCTTGTGCTCTGACTTATAACTACAACACTTTTTCTAACTTCCTCAAAAGAAAGCATTTTCAAATATGCCCAGAAGATAACACTAACACCAGAAAATCTTTCATGAGATAGTTAAAGCCCTTTCTCAAACTCACCATTGTTCACTGCAAGGCAGTACATCTTACCACTGGCATATTTGCAAGAAGAGTTTAAATGTCCATGTATTAGAAATAAAGGATTATTCAGTGTGGAAAATGAGAGGGACTAGCACACAGAGCACGATTTTGAGAGTTTTAAGTTTTTTAGGGAAAATACAAGGAACATAAGCAGAAAGTAGAGAGAAGTTGGGTCATTTATTTTTCTGTCTTCCCTACGCGCTTCATTGCAATGTCAGTGTTAATGAATGCATGAAATGTGCATTAGTTGCTCTCTAAACTGTGGCCTGTATTATTGCCTGTATATGAACTTCTCTACCCAACAGAATACTGGAAATATGCCTCTTGTACCTCTTTGAGAGGTACAACACTATGTGGAAGTATTTTAGAACACTCAGAAAGCATAAAGCCGTGTTAGGTTTTTATTCTTTGCCCTGACATTGGTGATTCAAATTGCATAATTTTTGATGGGATGATAAGAGCAGGCTGATAGCACAGGGTATAAGACAGAAAAATCTAGGACACCTTTTATGATCATGCAGAGGCCAGTAAAGCAAAATAAGTGCAACCAGTGGAGCTATCATATCATTCATGTATTTGCATTAAATCAACCATGAAAGGTGTTTCTTGCATGTTTGGGGGGAAAAAGGAGGCTCTGGACAAATAGTGGATTGAGTACACCAGTGCATATTCTCAGTTTAGTCAGACTCAGGATATCAGAAAACCAGAGCGGAAGAGAAGTAGTCATGAGCCCACAGTAGTTCAGTCCCTCAGCAAGTGGTGCAACAAAACTGCATAGCAACAGCTATTGTACCAAAAGCTGAACAAAGAGCCCAGCCTCGCTGCTGCTATCCAAGGAGCCAGAGCAGGATCCCTTTAGCTGTCAGCTGAGACAGAGAAGCCAGCCTGCCCCAGCTCACGAACTCCAGCTCCAGCTAAAGCCTAACAAATATTGCCACCGTCCCAAACCACAAATGCATTGCTGAGCTGGAGGCCATACATGCCGGCATTTGACTTAGCTCCTGTGCAAAAGCCATTAAGCAAGGTCGCCAAGCAAGGTCACTTATGTCTCTTCTATTCCTCAGGTTAAGGTTATGAAATAATGAAATTTCTTAGTGCTGTAGTATTAATGTGACCGTCCCAAAACTCAGACACATAAGGGTCAGCCTTCATTTATTCCACAATAGACACAATTTTATGATTATTTCTTGGTGTTTTACAAACTTCTTTTTATAGGTGTTTGGAGACATTTTTCACATCTCAGGTAGTAATGGAAATAATGAATGACTGCCTGTGTATGCACAAAATCATGCTCTTTTAGACTGTTATGCCCAGCTCAAATGGGCTTTTCCTACCTATACTACTCAGTATACTACTTTTTACATTCAGTCAATTAATTGTAAAAGTATGAGAGAAAGAGTTATCATACCTGATTTTTCTATCCAGGATGGATGATGGAGAAATCAGATAAGCCACAAAAACAATCAGTTAACACTTAAAAGGGTTTACAATTAACTAGGGAAGGTGAGGGCAGCAGATAGGGAACTTGAATACAGTATTTTGCTGGACTTTAAAAAAGTCAGTGTCAGATCTGTGGGAATAAGGGGAAATAAAACCTGTACAGGGATTTACTAAGTAGTTCTTTGAAACCGCTTTTGACAAAATGAATGACAGTTTTGAAAAGCCCGTTTTTTATGATTTTAATGCTACATCAAACATGTCTTGTTGGATCACATCACAACTGAGGCAAGCTAAAGGGATGTGTCAGGGAGAGAGATATGTCAGCCTAGAAATAGTGTACATTCATACACACATGCACAGTATCTAATCCGGGAATGCTTGCTTTCCCTTGTGAATAACTGATTCAAACAAGCCACTCTGTAAATACTTTACAGAGCCAACCTATCTTAGCTTAAACATATAGGTCATTTAAATGAGCTAATTGTTCATGTTATTTTTAAGAATTATATTTTTGTTCATTTTCCTAGCACAAATATTTTCACATTATGCCAGACACAAGCATGTAAATACTAAAGAGCTCAAGTAGTCATTAGGCATCTGAGTTCCAGCATATTTCCAGGCTAAAGAAATCATGAGAGACAAGGTGCAGTCACTGTTCCAAATGCTCTGTTCAGCCTTTAGCTGGAAAAAGTGAGACTAAAATAGTGTTATTTCTCTTCCCATCACCTAGCAACACTCCTCTTGCAATAGGAACTTAGCCAGTTATGAGGAAAAGAAAATTAGAGGGCAGAATGAGACACTCTGTCCCAGACAGTCCAAAACATACTGTAAGGTGACAGACAGTGAGCAACATAGTGCACAATTAGCCTAATAGCAGTTTTCCAAGGTTTGCAGTCTGTCATCTCTGCAGCCACACTGTGCAGAGTTCCCCCAGCCGAACTACCTTAATGCCTTATGACAGCTCTATAGCAATAGATCTTGTTCCTAAAAATAAAATAGGCATAATGTATCTTCCATGCCCTGCAAGTATGAATAATATTCAGAAGCCTCCAAACTGTTGTTCCTAGAGATTCATTCCCATTGTTGTACAGGCTGCCAAAGGGAAGGTTTACAAAGCAGGAAGACACTGGAGATCATGAGGCTGTCTTCCTGCTGTCAGACTTTAGAAAATCATTCTAGCATTACTTTTCTTTTTAAGAAACACAGAATGATATAAAAATATTTGGTATAATCTGATTCCAAGCAAGAAACAAACAGCAAAAAACACAGCTAGCTACTTTTCCAATGATTCACTAAAACGCAACACAGTCCTTTTGAATTTGCAACTGTACAAAAATAGGACTTATGCTGAAGACATTTAAGAAGGTAGCAATTTTAAAGTAGGCTTCTAACTCACATTACGTGTCTGAATGCTACCTTTAATTTCACTAAAGCTTAAAAATCAACATTTTAATTGGAAATTCTATACTAATCATGTAACAGGCATATTGAAATATTTATTGTGTGTTTTTTTGGATAATATAGAGATGTGTATAGTGAACCTCAAAATGTACAGCAGAATTCACTGAAATGTAGTTTGATTGGGTTTTAACTACCAGAGGAAAAGGAAGCATTTTTAAAAAATGTTTTCGTTCCCAAGGGGATTAGTGCCATGAAAGAAGATTCAAGCTTCTGCAGGCAGGTACCCCTCTGAGTAGATTATCTGACCTCATTCCTACCACCCGAGAGATGAATTTTTGTGACAAGTTCCAACAGTATTTTACTAAAGTCGATTCTGAAAGATGTGAAGTTGATTTTAAAAAATCAGAAATACCTATGGAATCACAGAGATTCTGTAATCTCCTTCACTAGTTTCACTTCAGGCAGTCTGTACAATGTCATGCAATCTACAGACTGCTCTTTCTCTTTTTCTTGTTCCAGAATCGTGAGGAAACTATTACTGCCCTCAGTAACTCTATGATATTTGATGCAAACTTTGGAGCATTCATGCTTTGGACAGGATAACTGCACTGCAGAAGTTACACACAGACACTGGCTTAATTTCCCTGTAACAATGGGGTTAGTTTTCGGGTTTGCAGGAGTTAAAGGGGGTGGCTGCTGCTGCCCCATGGCTAAAGCTGAGCAGGAAGGAAATCTCTGCACCCCACCTGCAAGTTGAAAACCACACGAATGTGTTACCTTGGAAGAACTCTGATCTCCTGCTTACAGAAGGTAAGCTCCTGTTTAGCCCCAAGATCCTGTCCAAATGAAAGGCAAAAACCTCACTCATGTCGAGAGGTCTTTTGACAATTCCACAGTGTCCTTGACTACAAGCAGTTCCTGTAGTGCTGGGACCTCTTGCAAATACTACCAGGACTGCTTTGTGCGAAGGTACTTCTTGAATGCTCTCTATGGGAGAGTCTGCCAGCATGCGCATGTTTAGGATGTCATCTTTGCTCATCCATGAGGGAGGGCTCTCGCTGTAAATCCTGATATTGCTTTCCTCAGACTGGAGTTGTGCCTTTACAGCTCCAGAAATCTTCCCAGGTCTCTGGTGACTTCTCTCCCTGATACCAATTCCTTTATGCCTGCGTTCATCCAGTTGGTACTTTCTTGCCTCCAGAGAGATCGCTGCTCCCATTGTGCCTGCGGCATGTGTGGCCCGCCCTTGCTGTTGGGCAAAGGCCTCTTCCCAGCCCATAAAATTGGCTTTTGATAAGTGCTGCCCATAGGACAACGGGATTGCATTTTTCTTCCTGCGCTTTGGCTTCACTGTGCCCCTGATGTTGGCAGGCTTGCTGCGTTTGGACCGCAGGGTGATATAAACTACATTGGGTGGCAGCAAGGTCCCATTGCTACCAAGCTGGGGTTCCTGGAAATTGGGTGGTGACAGGGTGCCATCCAGTGGGATGCCCAGAAAAGGAGTTTGAGCTGCATCTTGGAGACTCCTGGAACTGATCTTTTGATGTCCTCCTTTGTGCTGCGGTAAAATATGACCCACTTGGCTGACAAGGAATCCCAGGTAGATCACACACGCAGTACCCACTAGCAGATTCCTCCTTGTCCTTGGGCGCCGGCAAGTCCAGAGCCTCAGCACCCGTGAGGGCCACAGGCAGCAAATAAACAAGTTTTTGATTTTACTTGGCTGATCAAAAGGGGTCATTTCTCTAGTGAATCCACATGATGAAAACAGCATAAAGTCTTCTGTACATTCCAGCCAGGATGATGATGCATGATTTCCCTTCCCCAATTTCTATTTCTCCTTTTCCAAGTAGTTTCCAGCATGGGTGATGGACAGAGGCTACTGATATGCCTGGGAAAGTGGTCAGCACTAAGGATGCTGACACTCCACCTTCTCAAACTGTTAAATTCTTATCAGCCACCACGGGGGAAGTGATTGGCTTCAGAGAATGAATGGAGCCAGCTGTGTAAGCAAAGTTTACTGACTTGTAGTCTAAAAGATCTATGTATCTTCTTTACAAACTGCAAAAAGAAAATAGTAGCATTTCCTTTCATTACTCACACATAGCATTTGTGGCTCTGTATTTTTCAGAGAAAATAAGTTCTACATGAGACAGTATGCATGTAAGAATTTGTCAGGATACATATTTTACTTTCTCATTACAGTATAAATCAAACATCAAAACCTGTACTAAACACAGGCTCAATTTTCAATCTCGGCTGGATGTATTCCAGTATTAGAAGAAATGCTTATCAAACCCAGATCATTATCTTTTTCTTATGAAACAAAGTCTTCACTAAGCCTCATGTTATGGAAATGCTGTAAATGGTCCAAATATAAAGCAGTGACTAGTAGTTAAATATGCACATATTCACAAATATAAAAATATATTAGCAGTGCCAAATTTCCCTAGTTGACTATAAATATAGTTCCCATAATTCATAAACACACATTAAAACTGAAAGATGGTTAATCCTCTTCACTCTTGTGAAGCCATAAAAAGAGTCTAGCTATATAGTTTTTAAAATAAAATTACAATGGCTTATATATCCTTTCCAAGAAACAAAGTATAAGCACACATTGCATATATATTGCTATAAAAATAAATTTTCTTACCTATTCAGCTTGACACATCCTTTGTTCTGGTAAACTCCTTAGGTTAATAAAAGTAACTGAGTAAAAGCTGGCATCTAAAACATATTTTACTTTTAAGTATGATTCACATTTAGGTATTTCATTGCAAGCTAAGAACTGTTGAGAAGCTAACTTTACTGAGAGGTGCTTGCATATGAATTGCTATAAACTTACATGAACCTCACGTTATTAAAAAAAACCAAACTAAACAACTCCACACACAAAACCACAGCAACTTCTATTTTAAATTCGGTAATGAAAAGTCCTGTGAAGTATGTGCCTTTCAAAAGTGCATTCCATCTATTTCTAAATCCTGAGGGCCCTCTAGTGCACTGCATGTAACTGTACTGAAGAAATTCCCTTTCTTGCATTTAGTTTTTTGGGGGGTCTTGAGTTTGAAATATCACCCACTCCCTGGATTTTTGAACTTTTGGGAATCATATATTGTTGTGATGAGAAGCGAAAAAACAGATAGCCAACTTAAAAATGCTATTGATATGCTACTAAACAGCTCAGGAGTGTCTCCTATTTGTGCTTTCTGGAACAAGGCATAGCATAGTCCCTGTACAGCTGGAAAAGCTGGGGCAGACGAAAGTTAAGGGCAAACCTCTGACTTCTGACTACTTTCCTAGTCTAAGTATAAGATAATAAAATGTATATGTTCACTGTAATTCAAAGAATGGAGATATTATCTTCTCCATAGCCAACACTACAGGAGAATAGACAGTTAAGTTAGCTTATGTTTCATATTTGTCCAATATGAATTTATAAAACTTTGTGAGCGTATTTTTTTTTCCATAAGCCATCACTTACCTTTATGTCTAAATATGTACTCTCAATTTAAAATTTCAGTATCAGTCCCATTACCGTATCCATGTATCCGTGCCCATTACCAGTAAAAGAGCCTTCCTGTCACCTGTTTTTTCTAAATCTGAGTTTTTGGAGGAATTGGAATTGTAAGAAATCTCTTCATCCACTTCAGTTCTTCTTTCTTTTTAGTTCAAATTTGACTGATGGGACATAAACAAAGAGAATTTATTCCAAAAGCTCCAGACAAGTTGCTTGAATTGTTTTCAAATACCCAGTTCCTGCAAGTACACAGCACCTGTTATATAATATTATAACATATATATATTTTATATATATTATATATTATAATACTATAACCAAGCAGCACCAAAGCACTGTACATTCCAGTTACTAACAGCTCTCCTCTGCTACAACATTTCTCTGAAATCCTCTGTAATCTACATAATCTTTCTACTGCCACTCTTTAAAGATTATCTGGAGGAAGTTAAAAAAGAATATAGAGAGTTTTTCTTCACTTCTCATTTCATTTGTAGCCTTGAAATCGTAATGTGGTATACACATTGATGTACAGTGTGGACTGCTGGGTTTTTTTGAGGCTTTCTAAATGTGATAACACCAATAGTATTTCCTTTATTTCTCATGTTCATAATAGAGAACTCAGGTACTGGTATGATCTTTGGAACGGAGGTGGTAGAAAATCAACTAAATAGAATACAGTATCTTATTAGTTTAACACGTTTGCCTCTAATTTTGGATTTTTAAAAGGCAAAATATGAAGTGACTGGTGTACATCTCCAGCACCCTAGCAGATACCATAAAACAAGGAAGACTGAAGCAACTATGGAGTTGTCTGGAAAAAAACCCACATTTTATCGTGTTTCACAAGAAACAAAGGAAATGGGTTTTGTTTAGGTGGGTACTATTCTTCTTTCTGGAATCATTCTAACCAAAAGCTGCAGCAAAGCACTAAAGGGCACTACTAAGCTGAAACAGTACTTCTTCTGTGGTCATAAATTATTTAAGACAAACTTTCAGGACAGCAGTTGTTGTCTGACCAAATTCTGGCCTACATTATTTCACTTTGCTACCTACAGCTAGCCTGTAATATCTCTCAGATTTTGTATTTGTTCCTTGCTGTAAACTATAATATTGCCATCTGCATCCATTAAATTCAGCTTTTCATGTAATTTCTTCATATACCCGCATTTCATGGTCAGTATTGTACCTTCCTAATACAAAAATATAAAAACTAGTATAGGAAATAGCAATGAATGGAAGAGGGGAATTAAATAAGTATTTTTCTAGTCCTTCACAGACCTAGGTACAGTTTTTAAATGTGAATGAATAGCTGGATTAACTATTTTCAAGTATTTTTTCTTTTTTTTTTTCCTTTTTTATTTTGTTTTTTGTTTAACTTTGAAATTCACCTCCATCTACACCTGCATTTGAAGAGGTTTTCTGCTGGTGCTGGACAAGCTGCAGAATCTGAAGCAGCCAGTGGCCTGCACTGCTCCTAGCAGGAGGTCTCTGTCTAGTTTGCAGAGACAGGTGGAGTGTGCCAATGCCCACCAGTCACAAGGTCCTGCATCTTGACTTCTCTTTTTCCTTGGACACCTGAAAGGATGTGGTTACAGACTATGCTCCTTAATGTGTGTGCTCTTGCTTTCTATGTGCAGGCACTTCAAAGTAAAAGGTTAACATTTTTCCTACCACTTTTTTTCTCAATAAAATAACATAACACATTCACTAGCACTGCCTTTGGAATTCTTTTTTCTGCAGGCAACCTTTGTGATTATGATATGGAACATTATTTGTCTTGGATGCACTATAGGCATACTGTTTCCATAGAGACGTTCTGCTATTCATCTCTAAATGACACATGGACAGACATTTATGTTAAAATGATTGATAAATAGTGCTTTCCTAGCCTTACTGAATCCATATGACTGACAATTTATTCTCCAGAGAAATAAAGTAAGCTCTTATTATGGATAATGCAGATTTGATTTGCAAAATATGAAGCATTACTTTAGAAGGCTCGTGCTGTGTTTGTAAGGAGATCAGTTTGGGCTGCCATCTGGAAACTGTACTTCAAGAGTACAGAGAGAAATGTTTGCTTCGTGACTAAACATGCTGACTAATAGTCTGTGCTCTGACTGGTCTGGATCAAATCCTTACAGGGAAATCTGCAAAGATCTCTTCTTGATATCATGTACAAGATTTCTTTTCCTACTTGATTTTGGTTGCCAAAATCAACACAGAGGCTTCCAGACCAACAGGTGGTAATTTTTGTGCTTGAGAAAAATAAAAACCTGGATGCCCTGACAGGGCTCGGTGGTTTCCTTGCCTTGCTGCACACCACAGGGCCAGCAGCTGTTGCATGGCCTCGAAATGCCCCTGCCTTCCCTGAAATGCTTGCCCAGCTCTGCAGGTGCCTGCAGCCCTCAGCCCTCAGCCCTGTGGAAGCTTCCAGCAGCCACGGAGACCTCAGGAGAAAGAGGAGCTGCAAGGAGGCCATGCTGCCCCCTCTGTGAGCAGCCCCATCTTGGAACCATGTCCGTGTTCCTGTTTGGTATGTGTTTGGGTATGTGTTTTGGTGTGTGTCCTGTGTTCATGTTTGGCAAATACTACCAAAACTTGGGTGCCTCCTCTGGAATACAAGTCCTGTGATGACTAAACACCCCTGTGGGGCTATTTAGCCTGGAGAAGAGGAGGCTCAGGGGAGACCTTACTGCTCTCTACAAACTACCTGAAGGTAGCCAGGTGAGGATTGGCCCCTTCTCCCAAGCAGCCAGCAACAGGATGAGTGGACACAGCCTCAAGCTCAGCTTGGGGAGGTTTAGGTTGGACATTAGGAAGAATTTCCTCACAGAAAACATTGCAATATACTGCCTAGGGAGGTGGTGGAGTCACCATCCCTGGAGGTGGTGAAGACTGGATGTGACAGCAGGTGATTAAACACTGGAATGGACTTTCCAAGGAGGTGCTTAAGACGGGATGTGGCACTTAGTGCACTCATGGTCTAGCTGACATGGTAGCCTTGACTCATAGGTTGGACTCGATGATCTCCAGAGGTCTTTTCCAACCTCATTGATTCTGTGACTGTTCAGTTGCGGTCACAGCACCGGCCCGTTGAGGCCACAGCTGCACTTCTACTAGGGAGGGAACTGTCTCATCCGAGCGCTTACGGCCGGGAAGACCAAAAGTGCTTTTATTACGACACGAGTGCATTAATTTAAGTTTTCTCTTAGTGATTCTTCCCCGCCAGGTGGGAAGCCGGCGCCCTGGAACACCCCCTCCGCCATGACAGCGAGACAAAGGCACTCGAACACCGCCCCCCGCTCCCGAAGGGGGAAGAAGAGGCCAGTGGGAAGAGGCGGAGGGAAGCAGGCGGATGGAAGCAGGCGGATGGAGGCGGGCCGAGGCGCGGGGCGGTGCGGGCGCAGGCGCGGATCCCGGCGGGAGTGAGCGCGGAGGGGCGTGGGCGGCGGGGCTGCGGCCGCACGGAGGGACGGGCCCCGGAATCTCTCGGTATGGGCCCATTCCCTCCAGCTTCCGCCCCGCAGAGGAGTGCCCTAAAACTTTCCGCGGCGCCGAGCCGGGTACAGGGCGCTGGGGGAAGGAAGGCGTGCGGCTGGAGCGGGTCTCGGGTGTCCCCTCGGGGTGCGGTGCCGAGCAGCCGCCGCCCTGCCGCGGCGGTCGGGCCCGAGGGCTGGGCCATGTCCCGCCCGCTGTCCGGGCCTGCCCCGCCGCAGTCGGGTGGCGCAGGGCGGTGGCGTCAGTGAAGCCACGGCGGCCCCGGCGGAGCTCTCAGCTGGGCGTTTTCCTTGTTCCGTGGTAGCACTTAGTGAAAACAGTGCTTGAAGAACGTCTTTTGAAAGAGATCATCTCAGGAAAGCAAAGATACGTTTCTTGAGCAAGGGTCCAGTCAAGGGTTATGGTGTCACTTGGGGACTTTGATATGAGCCACCTCGAACCCATAGGAGTGTCCTAAGTTAAGGGTGAAAGTATCCACATAGATAATAGGAGAAATATGCGAATGAATAGTCAATGTGACATGCAACATTTAAAAATACCCACTCAATTAGCAAAGAGGTTCTTTGTAACCTTAGCAACAATTTGGATCACCATTGATGTGAAAGCTCTCAAAGACAGGGCCTCTTGATTTTGTCCCTGTCTGCAGAGATCAATGTGTTGCTGTTGCAATAAGCGGGCATCGTGATTTGTTGTGGGTGTCATATTTCTGAGGCAAGTGTGGAGATGCAGAGCACAACACTCCAGTGGGGTGAACCAGTGAACTTAGTAGGAAAAAAGCAATGCATGTCAGCAATATTCCAACGTCCAACAGCAAAAATGTATTTTTTTTTCTGCTGCTGAGAATCCTGAAGTGCCTTTCGCTAAGGGCAACTTAGGGGAAAAAAAGCCTTCAATAACAGTATCAATTGCAGTTGCCTTTGCTTGAGTTTCAGAAACTCAAAAAAGGGGTAGCAGCTTCAGCATTTGGCATTTGTTCTGGTTTGGCATTACCTCTTAAGTCTTTGGAGGCACATATGCAAGTCCATCTGGCAATAACATAGGATTGAAGAGGAGAGGCTTTTAGTGAACTCGCAGAAGCTTTCTGATATGGAAAGTATGTAGAAAAAATACAGTCAACTAATGCTG